GGTGCCATGGGTACAAACATCCCACCCAAGATGGGCTCAGCTCAGCCTCGGATATAACACCAGGAGTCACCTTTTAAGTCAATCATTCATCCATGACATGCAATGTCAGCAGCATTTTCAAATTACAGTTTAACTGTGTGTCTTAAGCAAATTATAATGTTAGGCTATAGCCACAGAGAAGATTGAGACTTCTGGACATTACCAGTTTCATTTAGGTTTAAGACCATTTACAAGACCCCTGAGAATTATGTGGCAAGCACTGAATCAAGGGATCAAGATGGCTGAATTTTATTCCAGGGTCACTAGCTGAATGAATTTTGATGAATCACAAATTCTTGGGGCCCCAAATTTCCTCCACCTGTCATGTCAAAGAATGTTCTCTAAGGTTCCCCCAACTTCGCTGTTCTACGATTCTACTCCTATGAGAAATGTCAGACTCCCTCTAGGGAGTAGTATATTCTTAACAACTAACTGCTCTCGAGTCAAACTTTTTTGTCAAATAAAATATATTCAAATCCCCAAATTAGTATATGAGGCCCAAATGTAAGACCATTAGTGCCTCAGGTGGGTCACTGTCCCGAAGAGAGCGAATCCTCCCAGCTGACCAAATTCCCACCACGCCTCCCCACCAATTAGCTACCTCTTGGGGCTGGTCCTCGTGAGACTCCAGTCACAGGTGGTGTTCTTTACCATGTTTTGAAAGCCGATTGTGAAGGACACAGTCATCTTCAGGATCTTGTTCATGTGGCCTTTGTACGCAAGACACAGCTATGGACACCAAATAAGTCCTTCAGTACTATTAGTGCAAAAAGCAGTCATTCAAACAATATGTAGTGAGGAGCCCACATCCCTAGAACCCTGCCATAGGCTCTGAGAGAGTCAGTCCAGTTCCCGCCCTTCCAGAGCTTACTAGTGTAGCCAGAGAGACAAATAACTTAAATTGTTATTTACCTACCTAAATAAAACTGGGGAAAAATACAAATAAATACTTTTTCTGAGGCCAAAAAAAAAAAAAAACCACACACGTCATTTAACAGAGAGTTTTTAAATGCTTAGCACTGTGCTCAGCAGTGAGGATTTTAGAATATCTCACTTAAGAAAACCCCTGTTCTAACCCAATTACCTGTGCAACCTCAAGCAAGTAACTCAACCTCTCTGAGCCTCAGTTCCTCAGCTCTAACTCCCCAGCATCCTTGGTTTCTAACTCAGTTAGAGATAAAGCTATTGGCACAAGAAGACTTTAGAGCAGGAGTTTTCAACCTGCTATCAATATTTTAGGCGCTATTCTGTGCATTATAGGATGTTCAACAGCTTCCCTGGCCTCCATCCACCAGATGCTGATAGTGCTTCCCCAGTTGAGACCACCAAAACTGTCTCCATGCATTGCCAACTCTTCCCAGGGGGGCAAAATCACCTCCATTGGGCGCCCCTGCAGAAGAGATGAGGCTGAAGAAGGGAGGAGCTCAAGCATGAACCATTTAGCCCCGACTCCCACAGCAGCCCGACTAGGAAAAGACTAGAAACGACTGCCATGAGCTCCACCACTCCAGCAAAACTCACTCCGGTTCCCAAAGGGCAAATCAGCTGCACTTCTTTTACAAGGGTGGTGGAGCTATCGAAGCAAAGGATGTAAGAGGTATTTGAGAAATGCATCAGACAATTCAATCCATCAATAATAACAACAGCTAGAGGAACAATAATTAGCCTTCACTGGGTCCTAACTGTGCAGGCACTTTACTACATTATCTCATTTAATCTATACCACAGTCCTGAGAGATAGACCACATTACTGTCCATTTTACAGATGAGTAAATGAAGGCAAACTGTACTTAAGACAGACATGGAAGGCACACTGGGTGTGAAATCAGGATTTAAAACCAGATTGTCCAATGACACAGTCTGCACTCTTAGAGATCAAAGAAAATATTGTAGCGAATAAAACCTTTCAGGGTCTCACAGCTAATACAAAGGCATTTCCATGTAACAACACACAAGTGGGGACCAGTGGTGTCTGTTCATACCTGAAACAGCAGTCGAGAGACCTAGAACATCAGCCTGAAACACCTTGGGCAGATCACAGCAATCACTCCTTTGTGCTTCTGAGTTTTCAGTCTCGAAT